CCACCGCAAGTGCCGACGGTCTGATATCAAGCATGGATATCCAGAGCATGGCAAGCGAAGGCAGGCAGCGAGAAGGTAGGCGAAAGAGGAAAGAAAGCGTAAGGCCACGCAGGAATACGCCAAAGTTTCCAATCCAGTCCGAGAGTGGAACTTTCGGTCTGAAGGCAACGATAAGCCACTGGAGTTTCTGAAGCAGGTGGAGTGGTCAGCCGCTACATATGGTCTGGATATAAACCAGATCATAAACATCCTTACCAAAATCGGAGCCGAGGCAAAATGCGCTGGTCACAGCGTCGTGATACCGGCGAAGGAAAGACACCGAGGGCGGCTGGAGGAAAACCTGTCGGTAGCAGTCGTGGAATCACCGAAGGTATTTTCGGAAAAATAATGTGGACCAGTTTTTAAAGACCGAGTTGAAGAGCCTGAAAAACATGCAAGGCACGGCAAGCGTGGCAGTACACAGGATCACCATGAAGGACGATCAGCCGGTCAATGCAGGGCGAGATCAACGCCAAAGTAGACGAGCTACTTTAAAAGAGCTGCTTCGAGCCGTCAAGGAGTCCGTACAGCTCACCAATAGTCATGGTGAGGAAGAAGGCCTGGAAGTGGAGGCTGTGTGTGGATTTCTGGCAAATAAACGCAAAGTCCGTAAAGGATGCATACCCAATGCCGATGATCAACTATATATTGGACCAACTTCGGGAAGCTAAATACATTAGCAGACTCGACTTAAAGGACAAGTATTGGCAGATACCGTTGGAGGCAGCCAGCAGGTAGTACACCGCATTTACAGTGCCAGGGAAAGGCTTGTTCCAATGGAAAGTTATGCCTTTTGGTTTCAACTCGGCATCAGCAACATTCCAGCGGGCGTTAGACCATATTATAGGACCCGAAATGATGCCGCACGCTTTCGCGTATCAGGGTGATGTCATCGTCATCGGACGGACGCTAGAAGAACACATGTGTAACCCACAGGAAGTATTTAGAAGACTGCAAGCGGCGAACCTGAAAGTAAACGCTGATGAGAGTAAATTCTTCAGGAAAGAACTTCAATATTTAGGGCATCGCATTACAGACAAGGGCATCGGGACAGATCCGGAGAAGGTATCGGCGATAGCGTTGCTAAAACCACCGGCAACTGTCAAGGAGCTGCGGTAGTATTCGGGAGTGGCGTCGTGGTACAGGCGTTTTGTGCCAGATTTTGCCAGGCTACTGCATCCGCTAAACGACATTCTCCGAAAGAGTGTCAAATGGGAATGGACCGACGACCACCAGCATGCCTTTGAAGCTGTCAAGGCGAGGATGGTCGCCGACCCAATTTTGGCATGCCCGGATTTCACAAAACCGTTTGTGCTGCAGACACATGCCAGTGATTATGGACTGGGTGCCATTCTCACTATTCCAGCCGGACATCGGCAAAAAATTTCTCGGTCACTGAAAAGGAATGTTTAGAAATTGTGTGGGCCATAAGAAAAGTAAAGTCGTACCTGGATGGATCCCACTTCAAAGTTATAACAGATCACATGGCCCTGAAGTGGTTGAATAGCATCGAGTGCCCAACCGGAAGAATCGCACGATGGGAAATCGCTTACAGAAAAGGCCAGCTGAGTATTGTGGCGGACGCACTGTGGCGGCAGTCCTTGCCTGAAACCTGCCGAACGATGAAGACGAAGCCACCAAGTCAACCGATGAAACAAGCCGAATGTAGTTGTATAAGGGACAAGATTGCAAGATAGCTCAGAACCCCCACAAATATCCGGACTACTTAGTGGAGGCCGACCGGCTGTACCAGCACACTCCTCACAGAGCGAGCAACAAGGATGTAATCGCATGGAAGCTATGCGTACCAATCGATTAAGGCAGCGAGTCACTGCTGAGAATCATGATATACCGACAATCGCGAGGGTGGCAGCGAGGTGTCATTGGCTGGGCATGCACCGCGACATCAGGAAATATGTGCGGAACTGTGAGAGTTGCCTCAGGTGCAAGCCCAGTCAGCTGCAGGTGGTCGGAAAAATGCTCACCCAGATCCCAGAGATAGTTGATTTCGGTCGCGTGTAAACGTGTTTTCTTAACGCTCCAAAAAAACAATAAGCCACTTAGTCGAAAACGTTCGAAAAAATTTATAAACGCGAGGTTTTGCGATTCGCGATGCTAATTCGCATATCGTAAACTAAAGTTTTAATTAATTAATTAGTTAATATTAAGCTCTATCAATAAATTAGTAAGAACGTGGATCAGCGCACTCAACGCCAAAAACAACAAGACGAAGCCCGTGAAAAAATTCAGAGAGAGCAAGACAAACGTCGTCTCTCTTTGGCCCGTAACACTGCTTATTTCTCGTTCACGAGTAATACTCTAGAACCGAAAGTGTCAGAAAGTGCAAGTTTACTGACCGCCGAAAACCAGAGAGCTAGTTCTTGCTCTCCCGCCCTGCTTTTCACCGCTCAAACACCATGGAGTGAGCAATGCAAAACTCCAACCGAGCTTCTGCCACCTAGTGCAACAACAACAGCAACTACTTCGTCAACTACAACGGTCTCTGTTGCCAACAATGCAATAACGACTCCACTCTCTTCTTCTGCAGCGAGTAAAGCAACAACACAACCAAGTGCAAAAATCGGGTCAAACGGCAAAAACAAAGCTACGGTAAAAAAAATTACAATTCCGCAAGCGGGTTCGGTCATGCAGACAGGCATGGATCTCTATATTAATATTTCCAAGCGCAAGCTAACCCCTCCAAAAAAAAATGACGGCAATATGCCCAAAATAAACCGTACCAACAAAGGCCCTGAAAATCTCGCGCCATTAAATGAAAATAGATTTTCCATTCTGGCGGAGCCTGAAACAGAGTATGAAGAATTAGCCCCAAAGAAACTTAAGCCCCACCTATCTTTATTCGGGAGAAGATCTCCAACGTCCTAGTCAACAAAATAGTTGAGCTTGTCGGGAAGGATAACTTTCATGTTATTCCGCTTATGAAAGGGAATATAAGCGACACCAAACTTCAAACCAAAACCGAAGATGATTTCCGAGCAGTGTCGAAGTACCTAAACGATGCCAAAAAGAATTACTACACGTACCAGCTGAAAAGTTGCAAGGGCTTACAAGTTGTCTTCAAGGGAATAGAACCCGATGTGACCCCTCTGAAATTATAGAGGCTTTAAAAGAAAACGGTTTTTGCGCCAAAAATGTTATAAACATTATGAACAAAAACAAGAAGCCGCAACCACTTTTCAAGGTTGAGCTGGAGCCAGACAGCAGAACTTTGAAAAAAACGCAGTGCACCCGATCTACAAGTTGCAGTACCTTCTGCACCGTAGGATCACAGTTGAAGAGCCGCACAAACGGAACGGGCCAGTGAAATGCACAAGCTGCCAGGAATACGGACACACCAGGGCTTACTGCACCCTCAGGTCAGTTTGTGTAGCTTGTGGAAACTGCCACGGCTCCGAACCCTGCACTGCCAACAAGGGAGACTCTCTCACTAAAAAGTGTGTAAGCTGCCAAGGAAACAACACAGCAAACTACAGAGGCTGTCCAGTCTACAAGGAGATGAAAAGTCGGATGCAAAGAGCGACAACGGCACGCCAGAACATTTACATGAAATCACAAACGACACCCGAAGTTTTCTTCGCAAAAGCAGCCAGGTCACCACCACCAACAGCATTTCCTACGCCAGTGCTCTAAGATCAGGCACAGCTCACATAGAGCCGAAAACTTATAACATACAGCAGGCCATGGGACAGCCACAAAGTAACATGGAAACTATGATGATAACTTTGCAACAAAATATGATGGAATTTATGTCCTTCATGAAAACCACCATGCAAACTCTAATGCAAAACCAAAATATCTTGTTACAAATGCTTGCAGCTCAGCAGTCCAAATAAATTATGCCTAGCCTCCGAATAACTCTGTGGAACGCCAACGATGTTCCACGGCATATACCTGAAATAACTCAATTTCTGAACGAAAATCACATCGACGTTATGTTGCTGGCAGAAACGCATCTCACCAGCAAATATAACTTTCAAATACGAGGATACACGTTCTACGGCACCGATCATCCAGATGGTAAAGCACATGGCGGAACCGGCATCTTAATAAGAGACCGTATCAAACACCACTTTCACCAACGGTTTACAAAAAATTATCTGCAAGCTACATCGATAAAATTACAGTTGGGCACCAGCAACCTTGTCATTGCCGCTGTCTACTGCCCACCCCGCTTTACTGGCTCCGAACACCAATTTATGGACTTCTACAATTCACTTGGAGAGCGATTCATAGCAGCAGGTGATTACAACGCCAAGCACACACACTGGGGATCCCGCCTTGTGACTCCCAAAGGAAGGCAACTATATAATGCACCCATCAAAACATGCAACAAACTGGACTACGTTTCACCAGGCAGTCCTACATACTGGCCAACAGATCCTAGAAAACTATCTGATTTAAATGATTTTGCTGTGACAAAAAATATTTTCTTCGCAATCTAATATCTGCAAAATCGCTTTTGGATCTATCATCGGACCACTCACCAGTGCTAATTACTCTTCTTCACATACGCCAGAAGCAAAGAGCAGATGGAGCGCGAGGTGAGGGAGGAGCGCGCCAGGGAACAGTTAGGAGCGAAGTGGAGGCGGGACTCCGGTTCCGTTCTCCAGCTACTGGCGTCCCCCTGGTGTCGCGATCCCCGTCACTGGTCGGCATCATGGGCATAATAACGGGAAATTGAAATTCCACGCGGGGAGGCCAGTGAGAAAATTAGGGACGGGGGCGCCTGGACGATAGGCGGTCGATCGATAGTTGCGATCGATGGGTACAAGAAAATAATGGATTTCTCAATAAACGGTCAAAACGATGCACCCTGTCAACTTAGGACAGCGATGGCAATGCTGGACCCAACTATCGATAAATGCGATCGGAACGTTCGGAATGCCAGACGACGGAAATCGGAATGGGGGTTTCAAACACAGCGAACTGTCTGTTCAAATTCAACCTGTGAACAACAGACCTTGGACCCGGGCAAAGCAGGGACATCGTGAATTAACGGTACCACGCTGGACATTGCACCCGCACACGGCAAGGGCAACAAGGTCGAACTGTGAATTGGCGCACCCTGAACTAACGATGCGGCAGTGAACCTTGGACCCGATCACGCGAGCTGGAGGAAAGGAATAATGAGACCATCATAGGCTATAAAAAGGGCGGCGCAAGCGCAGCTCACCCCGAAGTAAAAGTGCGAGATCAAAGCGAATGCGTGTACGCGAGACCAGTAGCAAGTTAACGAAAATAACGAACGACTATAAGTCTACAAGGATGAGACTACAACGCTGAGGTCGTGGTTAAATCGAGCTCAGGGAGTCCTTGTGTGGAGTATGCGATAAAGGTGGCTGGGAGAAGAGGCAGAACCTAGTTCTACCTGGTAGGCGAAATACCTTGCCGGTCCCGACAGCGAGGTTCGCATAACATCCAGAGTCTCGGTGGAGCCGTCACGAGTCAGAGCAAGCAGTAGACTACGAGTAGCGACGCCGCAGAGGACAACGACGGGGAGCAGCTGTAGCAGAAGCGGAAGAGCCGCGAGGCTATGTTTGATGATACGAATAAAACCTTTACAATCCCAATACAACGCTTTCATTACCTTTGGTCAAAGGCAATCAACCAATATAAATTTGGTGGAACGATCCCACAACCTCTCTGAGCTAGCCGCTCGTTTACGTAGCGAGCGAGATACTGAAGAAATCAGGTCGTTACAAGTTTTAATTAAGGGCATTGTACTGGTAGTTGTTGTAATTACCAAATTGTTGGTAAGGTTGTACGGATCGGGGGACGGACATTGGGAACTCCAAGATTCAATTTGGCCGCTTTAGCATAATACTGCTGGAGAGAGTGATTTAGCTCGCGCCGTATCCGCTTGCAAGATTGCAAATATGTTTGGTGCTGAGAACTCATCCGCTCTTATTTCTAAGTAAGCGTTATTTCTGATGGACAAGAGCCGACATTCGTCTTGTTGCTCATTGTTTTTAACTTTGATTTTAGAGTTGCGCTCTTACACGTCGTCTTTTTTTTTTTACTCGTTAAACTTTTTTTTATTGAATAATTTGAAAGTTATCTTGGGCGAAACGAGCGTCTTTTCGCCAATTAAATTTTGGTAATTTTCACTATGTTTTTAATCACACGGCGGAGCGATACAAAATACGTCCGTTGACGTTGATTGTTTATTTTCTTTACGACCGAATCAAAACACGAAAAATAAGTGCAATTGATTGCAGACCAACTTATTTGCATACATGTTCAGTAAAGTAGTGCTATTGTTTTATAATTGTGTTCTCTTTCACATCTTTTTTGTTTGTGCTCTTCAAAGCACGGCATTTGAGTTGAGAACGGAGTTTAATCTGAAATAATTAAAATGTATATATTATATTTTAAAATTGATCCATAGTGTTGAGTAGAAACCAACACAAAAAGGTGTTAGTGTCCGACTTACTGTCAAGCGTCAATAAATAAATATCAATATAAATCAAAGTTTAATCGATGATTATATATATTTATATTATTATCTTTATGCATATTGAACCTTAAATTTTCCTTCCCTAAATTCATAAATAACACTGGCTTACATATTTAAATCAGTGAAATCCTCCAGAGATCATACGTTGGTTTTCCGGTGCAGATGGACTCCCTTTTTTGAGTGTAAATAACGTTTTTCACCTATATTCATTTCAATTATATTTTTATCTCCAGATCTGCCTAACCGAATTCGGTCATCGATAACTTGTTTCACTAGAAATACATAATTTTTTAACATTCCATACAATTCAAGCTCCAGCATCCACATAAAGGAAACAACATAAATTATAACATGAAAACAAGTGAAAAACGTTCCAACTTTGTAGAGCTATAGCATCTATACAAGGAAACCTATACTTACAACATGGATGAGTAAGTTGAAGAATGATCGATTTTAAGTGAAATAAGCTATCGCCGACCGAAATCGGCTACGCAAAACTGAAGATAAAAATTAAATATGCATGAAAACAGGTGAAAAATGTTGTTTGCACTTTTTAACTAAAATGGTACCATACAAAAAATGTTGAGTGTCATTTTTGAATGAGGGAGTTCATCTGCACCAAAAATCTAGGTTTTGATCATTGGAGGATTTTATCGATTTAAATTTGTAAGTCAGTGTAATATAATGTTTTTTTTTTGACATGAATTTTTACAGTACACATAATTTTTTTATATTATACTTTCTTGTACATTCGTAATAGTTTTAGTTTCATTTCAATATACACATTTTTTTAATTCGGCAATATATTATTCTTGTTTAATTATTATCACTCCTAGATACATATCTTGTTTGCCAATTAGATGCACACCTTGTTAAGATTTATCTTTTTTAATAAATTGAAATATGACACGAATGACTTGGGAAACATCTACTAATGGGTAGCTGGCCCAAATTTAAAAGTTGGGTAAAAACAATGATATAACTTTTTGCTGACGAAATTGACACCCTGCGATCGTATTGCAGTGACCAGCAACGATCCATTGGCAAACGGAGTAATAATATATTTACACATTTCTCTCTACAAATATGATTGGGGAGATACTTTAAAATTTTTTTACTTGCGTACACTTCAACAATAACTGGAAATGCAGCATCCCGTAACTCTTCTCTCCAGCTGGGGGGAAGCAGTAATTGAACTTGAGCTCGTCCTCCATGCGGTAATGGTATTTCAAAAGATCGCTGGGTCGGTAATGCCAGCTTTTGTAGTCTTTCTGTGTAAAATGGCCGTGTGTCGTATAAAATTTTCACCAAGCTGTGCGTTTCAAGCAAATGAACTCCAGATACCGGCAGTCCTGGACCTTGACATTCTAATATGTAGAACTCAATTCCATAGTTCGTTGCAACACCAAATGGTGGTGTAATAAAGGCATCAAAATGTGAACAGTTCGTATAATAGTAGCGACTACTCCAAAGATCCTCACCTAAATCACATGTTATACATTGCGGTTCGATTCTGTTAATAAAAATAATCAAATAAAGAAACAATGGATTATTGAATTGCCGGGTCCTTACTTCCTGGTATCGTCATGTATTGGATCTTTAACAGAATATAAGTGTCTTTGACCAGGTTTTTTATCCTGAGTAGCCAAAAAGTAAACTTTGTGATTTAGGGTATCCCAACATAATATTTCTACAACCTGAAAAATGACAAAAAAATATAAAATTTGTGTATTAATAAGAAAGTAAATAAGTCTATAATTTGTCTTTCCTTTTTAAAATTAGTTCCGTGAGTTTAATTACATAGTGCAACACATAAATTCAGAACCGATTTTTGAAATTTGCTGCTGAAAGTACTTGCAAGAACTAAAAATTCTGCATTATTACTTTTGCAAAATTGGTTCGAGCTTATATTTTATGTTGTTGTTAAACTGGCCTTTGAAAACCTTATGTGCGATTTTGATACGGCTATATCTTGTAAACCGAGAGAAATATTTTTTTTTGATTCTTCAGCAATCTTGTATGTACCAAAAGGGGAACAAAAATGTGGAACAAACCTACTCGAAAAATTCCAATTCTCTAAAATTACAATTTTTCAACCATTTTTTTTCAAAAATATTTAGGTCAACAATTCCACCACACAAATATGTCGTTTTTTTTTTTTTACTTCAATTAAAACAAAAGTCAAAATTAAACGAAATCATGAAATAAAATTAATATATAAATTATTAGCTGTTGTGTATGTATGAAATATTATTTATATTGTTGAAAGTTGATGCACTATAGACAGAGCAAGCAAGTGATTACGCGCGGGCCATATAATAATTATTACAAAGAACACCCAAAATTTGAGGTATATCTTGGCAAGTTGTGAAGAATCACATTTTCTATTATATTTACAGATATTCTTATCACAGTATATACTCACTAAACTAAGACCCTCTGAAGGGATAAATAATTATATTTAAAGTTTAGCCCTTTGGCTCATAAAATAACCGCGTACTTATTTGTAAAAAGCTTCCTAGCAAACTATAATTTCTAAGCCAGAAAGCATCTAGTAAGCCAGAATATCCAGTTTCACCGAATCCCAGGTCCGGCAACCCCGCAACAAGGCTACCACACCGATAAAAGCTACCCAAGACACATCTCGATCACAGCAAGAAAACTAACCACGATCTAAACTCACAAAAAGAAGGAATTTTTGAAAAGGAAGGAACGGTCACACTGAACCAGATGAACCAAGATCTCACTTGCTTTTTCACCAGGAACGACGACGGTCGGGGTTGTTCCGAGAACCAAGACAAGTTCGCGTCCGTGCCACGTGCCTTTGAGTTTGGGATACAACATCGATCCTCACCAGCCTCGCTGTTCCAGGATTAGCAGCGGCCGGCAACAATAAGTGCGAGAGAATGGATTCGCGAGTCATCACCATCGGCAACGAGGAATGCAATCGATTCCAGTAACAACCTGGCCGGGCGGTACGAGGTGAGAGGAGTCAAGTCAGGGACAGCAAGTCAGGGACACAGAGTGCGAGATCACCTGAGCGCCACAATATCAGATTGGAATGCCCATCACAGTTAATGTCGGTTCTTTCTAACTCAAGTATGCAGATTCTGGCCACTGGCGGGCCTAAGCATTTTCCATGGATTAATAACCACTTTCCGACGGCTATTGATTTTGCGGTGTACAGAGGCATCCCGTGTAACCACCTTGCTATCTCGGAGTGTCCCGGTCTTTCCTCTGACCATATTCCGCTTTTGATATATCTCTGCATTGCTGCCTATACGGTCGTTACCAAAACCAGTCTTCCACCTCGTGGTTCCGATATGAGAAGTTTCGGTGCTCGACTTTCAGTCCTGATTTAGAAGCATCCCTCTCTTACTACCGTGGACGAAGTTGATTCTTTTACTGAATTCTTAGTTGACCAGATCCACCAAGCTGCCCGTCCTGCTAGAAGTGTTCCTATTCCTCCACCATCTTGGTCTACTTCGAAGCAAGAAATTGCTGCCTTGGCCAGAAAAGGTCATGCATTCCGTCGCATCTGGATGAGGACTTACTATCGACATGGTAAAGAGGAAGGCTGTTGTGTCAGAACTTAAAAAAGTCCTTTGTTTGGCCAAGTCTGAATTATTTATGGACAAGTGCCATTGACCCTAACCAGAATCACGGGTTTGCGCTGTGGAAACGCAATCGCAACCGAAATAGACAGCCGCTTCAGAGATTCTCATTTAAACGTAACGATGGCACTTGGGCACACAGCGATTCCGAGATTGCTGAAGTATTTATAGATTATTTGGAAAATCGCTTTACTCCCTTTAACTTTGCAACAAGCCATGAAGTCCAACAACTATCTCTAGATTAGGCCTCTCTTTTTGGTTCGTGATCATATTAGGCGACTAGTTTCCACTTAGGCTCCTGCCTAGCTCAGTTATTACGCAGCTCCCTGGAAACGTGCTCTAGTCACAATGGTACCAGAAAAAGGAAAAGACCCGAGCTCCCCCGATTCCTATCGGCCGATTAGTCTCCTATGCACTTTTTCTAAGATTTTTGAACGGATCATGCTTGCTAGACTCTTAGCAATAGCTGCGTTTGATGAAGCCCTTCCAAACCACCAGTTTGGCTTTCGTAGTCGCCATTGTGCTGTTGGGCAAGTGCACAGAGTAGTAAATCATGTACTGGGTGCTTTGGAAGATCGCAAATACTGCTAGCTGTCTTTCTTATTGTTCGACATCAAGACATGGTTTTGCACGAAGGTCTCCTTTACAAACTAATGCCGCTCTTGCCAGTCCTGTATACAGTTTATACGTCGGATCTTCCAAACTTAGTTTCAGTCGGTACACTCCTGGCCACCTATGCAGATGACACTGCATTTCTTGCAGTTAGTCGCACCCCAACGTCTGCCTCCCGGCGTGACTAGGCATTCTTAAATGAATTCGAGTGCTGGGCTTCTCAGTGGAACATTACAATGAACGTCGACAAAACGCAGCACGCCACATTTGCTCGAAGCCCTAGCCGTTCGCGTAGCCTCTACCTTGATGGGAATAGGCTTAACATGAAGACAAGGTGATTGGACCGTCGCCTTTGTTGGAAAGAAAAAATGACCGCGTGTGTGGCTCAGCTAAATCAAAGAATGGACTGGCTTCTTCAGCGCATTTTCCTTGGATTAATAACCACTTTCCGACGGCTATTGATTTTGCGGTGTACAGAGGCATCCCGTGTAGCCACATTACTATCTCGGAATGTACCAATCTTTCCTTTGACCATATTCCGCTTTTGATATATCTCTGCATTGCTGCCTATACGGTCGTTACAAAAACCAGGCTTCTACCTCGTGGTTCGGATATGAGAAGTTTCGGTGCTCGACTTTCAGCCCCGATTTATAAGCATCCCTCTCTTACTACCGTGGACGAAGTTGATTCCTTTGCTGAATTCTTAGTTGAGCAGATCCACCAAGCTGCCCGTCCTGCTAGAAGTGTTCCTATTCCTGCACCATCTTGGTCCACTTCGAAGCCAAAAATTGCTGCCTTGGCCAGAAAAGGTCATGCACTCCGCCGCGCCTGGATGAGGACGAGGCATACCATCGACATGGCAAAGAGGAAGGCTGCTGTGTCAGAACTTAAAAAAGTCCTTCGTTTGGCCAAGTCTGAATTCTTTATGAACAAGCTCAGTGCCATTGACCCTAACCAGAATCACGGGTTTGCGCTGTGGAAACGCAATCGCAACCAAAATAGACAGCCGCTTCAGAGATTCTCATTTAAACATAACGATGGCACTTGGGCACACAGCGATTCCGAGATTGCTGAAGTATTTGTATATAATTTGGAAAATCGCTTTACTCCATTTAACTATACAACAAGCCAAGAAGTCCAAACAACTATCTCTATATTAGGACTCTGTTTACGGTTCGTGATCATATTAGGCGACTAGTTTCCACTAAGGCTCCTGGCATGGACTCGATTGACGAAAAGGTAGAAACGGCTCCGCCTAGCTTAGCCATTACGCAGCTCCCTGGAAACGGGCTCTAGTCACAATGGTACCAGAAAAAGGAAAAGACCCGTACTCCCAAGATTCCTATCGTCCGATTAGTCTCCTTTCCACTTTTTCCAAGATTTTTGAGCGGATCATGCTTGGCATAAGCTGAGTTTGATTAAGCCCTTCCAAACCACCAGTTTGGCTTTCGTAGTCGCCATTGTGCTGTTGAGCAAGTGCACAGAGTAGTAAATCATGTACTGGGTGCTTGGAAGATCGCAAATACTGCTCAGCTGTCTTTCTTGATGTTCGACATCAAGACATGGTTTGGCACGAAGGTCTCCTTTACAAACTAATGCCACTTTTGCCTGAGGGCCAGTCCTGTTACCGTTTATACGTCGGATCTTCCAAACCCAGTTCCACTCGGTACACTCCTGGCCACCTATGCAGATGACACTGCATTTCTTGCAGTTAGTAGTACCCCAACGTCTGTCTCCCGGCGTGACTAGGCATTCTTAAATGAATTCGAGTGCTGAGCTTCTCGGTGGAACATTACAATGAACGTCGACAAAACGCAGCACGCCACATTTGCTCACAGCCCTGGCTGTTCGCGTAGCCTCTACCTTGATGGGAATAGGCTCAACATGAAGACAAGGTGACCTACCCTGGTGTAACACTGGACCGTCGCCTTTGTTGGAATGACAAAATGACCGCGTGTGTGGCTCAGCTAGATCAAAACTGGATAGAATGGACTGGCTTCTTCGACCAGGTATCGGTCTAACCCTTCAGGCTAAGTTGCGGCTCTTCAATGCCATAGTCCTGCCGACGTTGAATTGAGGAATAACTTGCTAAGGCACAGCCTATTATTCATCTCTTAAAAGGGTACAAACGTGTATATCAAAGGCGCTTAGGAGGATACTGGGTGTGTTGTGTTGTTTCAGGTCACGGGAGTGTCGACGGTTGCGGAAACAATTTGTAGCTTGTCAAATCAAAACAGAGATCGCTTGCTGGATCACACCAGCCGTCTGGCTAGACGGCTTGCTACAACATTGGGTCAACTTCGGAGTCTTCATTATCATATAAGGGATTCAATGAAATTTTGATTTTGTGTATTTCCTTCAAAAATGGTGTTATAGGAATATTCGGTGCAATGCATTAATAGGAGGAATCGTTTTTTCATTGGCATTTATGTCCTGGTGGAATGTGAGCGACCTTGCTCATCCGATTCTTG